AGCTAGTCACATGTGCAACTTTTGGTTGCCTATTTAAATAGTCCAGCCTAAGGTTCTACACTAGATGCCATACCTATAACCTACTAGGAGATTATTCATTTAAACTCTCTGATCATCCACCCTGTCATATTGAAATCTCCAACTAACCTTCTATATATACCTAACTGGTATACTGTCTGAGCAGTATGGTACTTATCCTTTTTGTACTAGTTCCTAGACCATTATACATTTCAGAGTATGTCACCTACCAGTAAGGCACAGGAGGCCTCCTGCTGTTAACTATCTACCCACTTGTAGAACACTAATACAGACTACCCTTGCAGAGTTCACTCAGACCTCAGTACTGACTTCACAGCATATCCCTAGTACTTTTAGTATACTCCTACTTTGAACTTAGACTCCCAATCCAGATAGCCTGAAAGGACTGTAACCTGTTCTTGATATATTGAAGCTAGCCCAATATCTTTTTTTTCTAGTCTGAAATCTGATAGCCTGGTTGGTAATACCCTTTACCCAAGGTTCTTGCCTGCCTGAATCTTTCACATTAGTATCCATTTCCTAGGTCTAGTCTTTACAGTAGTACTGTCGAAGATCTGGTTTACCTTTCTGCTCAGAATTTCTAAGTAGGCTCTGGCTTCTTAGTTCTATGGATTTACACAGCCTGGGAACTTATTTTAGGATTGCACTGCCCAGTATTGGTTTGTATTCCTATGTTTAACAGGTTATACAGATGCCCTAGACCTGCCAGTCATGCTGATGCGACCATAGTTACAGGTATTCTATCTCAACTGATCGACAGAATGCCGTTGCTGTAATACTATCTATATATTACATAGATGATTATTCAAATTTCACCATCAGTGGGTTTTGAACTCACAACCTAACACTTGGGGGTATGACAACTTATCCACTTCACTAAGTTGCTACACCCTTAATTTATATATACTTAAAATATCTCTAATTAATAAATTATTAGTTTAGCTAAGTAATTGATTATTTATTAACAATAAAAAAAAAATTAAATTTTACAAAAAATTTTTTTTATTAATATACAAAAAATGATTTTCTAGTTAAAATTTTAAATTATACCTAATTTTTATTCTAAATAATATTTTCTAAATATTATTAAATTTATATTACAATTAAATAAATATTGTTTTTTTTTTTAATATTAAACTAGTCTCTTTTGGGCCTAGGGTTTTATTCAGTAACTTGGACATAGGGACTCATGGCTGAAGCCTCAAAGAAGTCACCTTATATTAGAGAGTACAACTAGTCACATGTACATTTTTAGTATCTAATTTAAGTAGTCTGCCAATGGTTCTATACTAGCTGCCATATTTGCAACTCAACTAGAGGCATTGTCTATTTAAACCCTCTGTGCTGCAATCCTTACTATGTTACTAGATCATCTCCAATATAGATATCAGTTAAGAAGGTCTAGATACTTTTACCCATTTTTCTTAGGACTCTATATCTTATTCATGCAGTGTATTCTTAGAAGCATTATTACTAGAGCCTTTCATGTCTCATATACAGCTGGCCTAGTTTTATATAACATGCTATAGTTATCCAACATTTGCAGTTATAGGGATTACCTGTTTAACTGCTATGTTATACTATTTTTACTCTTGTAAAGTTTATTCAAATCCTGGTACCTATTATTCTGACTTCTTCTTTTCATCCCCCTACTATCCAACTCAGAATCTGACAAACTTTCTGAATTTTCAATCCAGATAGCCTGATATGGTATATCTTTGGTATTCTTTTTCTTCAGTAATTTCAGCAGCCTGGTTGGTTATGTGCTCTTTTACATATCTTTTTATTTGGTTGCATGTCTGCCTATTCCTTATTGGAATTTTCTGAGCTTTAATCAGTCTGATAACACCATCGAAGGCTTGTACTACTCTTTACTTAGGAATTTCCAAGTAGGCTTCTGTCTCCTTGGTTTCTTGGTCTTTTACATCTTGTGGTCTTATTGTAAGTTTGCACCAAAGTCTTATATGATATCAGTTATTAATATTCCTCTATATATATGTAATGTTATATTTCGTATAGATGCTCTAGGCTTCCAATGATGAGTAGAACCTGATTGGTTGTACCCAAGATTACAGATATCTAAATCCAACCAATCAACAAGAGACAGTTTACTGTAATACAGGTTAATTACCAAATTTCTTCATAGGTGGAATTTGAATCTTAAACCTGTCACTTGGAAGATGACAAGTCAACTACTACATTAGGATCACTATTTTCAATAAATAAATATTGTTTTAAGTTAAATTAAAAGGTTTAAATATATATAAAATAGAGGATAGCAATCCTAGTATAGTAGTTAGGCTGTCATTCTTCAAGTGGCAGGTCTAAGATTCAAATCTTACTTATAATAAAATTTGAAAATTAATTTGTATTATGAAAACTGTTTCCTGTCAATCAGTTGGGCTTATGTAGCTATAATCCAAGTACACCAAGTTGGGTTCTACTCATTATTAGAAGCTTGGGGCATCTATACAAAGTGTAATATTATACATACATAGAAAAATATTAATAACCAATATTGCATAAGATTTTGGTACAAATTTTATAATAAGACCACTATATGTAGAAGACTAAGAAACTGAGAAGATAGAATTTTATTTGGAAATTCTCAAGTAAAGAGATAGCACAAACTGTTAATAATACTGTTAAATTAATGAAAGCCTATAAAACATCTTTATAAAAAGAGACAGAAAAACTAAATAACAAAATATATAAAAAAGCATATAACTAATTAGACTGCTAAAATCATTGAAGAAAAAGGATACTAAGATATATCATATTGAACTATTTAGATTAGAAATCTAGAAAATCTGTTAATTCTAAGTTGCAATTAGTAAAGAATGATAAAAAAAATATTAAAAAGATAGGTATTGAGATTTGAATGAACTTTACAAAGATAGAAATAGTGTAATATAGTGGTTTAAGATTATTCTAACTACAAGTATTAGATAACTATAACATATTATATAAAATTAGATTAACTATGTATGAGACATGAAAGATTTTAGTAATGATACTTTTGAGAATATACTGCATAAAATAAGATATGAGATCCTAAGCATATATATAGATAAGCATCTAGACCTTCTTGACTAACTTATAATGAAGATGATCTAGTAATACAGTAAGGATTGCAGTACAGAAAGTTTAAATAAGCAACACTCCTAATTGGGTTGCAAATATGATAGCTAGTATAGAACCATTAGCTAATTACTTAATTAAACATCAAAAATATATGTAACTAGTTGTACTCTCTAATGTAAGAAGACTTTTTTAAGACCTTAATATGAGTTTCTATATTCTAACTACTGAATAAAAAACTCTTGTTTTAAAAGAAACTAGTTTAACAAAATATATATATATATATATATATAAAATTTAATACTAAAAATTCTTTTTTTGGTATTAAGGTGACCTTTTTGGTTTTTTGACTTTTATTAATCACTTTTTGGTATTGTGGTTCAATAAACTATTACAGAAAAGCAAACAATTGGCTACATATATAACTTTTCTATATTACCTATTTAAGGAGTTCACCTGAAGGTTTTCTACCAATTGCCATACCTAATACCTCTGTTTAGATGTTCTACTTTAAACTCTCTGAACCTATAACCTATATTAACTCATTGAGTCATATTCAGATGCTCAAATTATATATTGTCTCAATCTTAGAACTAATTTATCTTTGAGGTAAACCCCTTAGAATTTTCTGTATCTATTTTTATAGCTAATCTAGGTATTACTATGACAGAACCAATACTTATAGTCAAGGCTAATCATTAAACTACTATGTTCTTGTAGAGTTTACTTAGACTCCAGTATCTACTTCATATCATAATTCCAATACTTTAGTATATCTCTGCTTTTTCTCCTGTCTTTTTACCAAACTTCCAATCCAGATAACCTATGTAGGACTATAATCAGTCTATTGGTATATTGAGTCAGTCTAATATCTTTTTTCTTCAGTTTATTCTGACAACCTAGTTGGTAATATCTCCAAGACTCTCAAATCAGAGGTTCTTGTCTATTCAACTACTATAACTGAGTACTAGATCTTGGTATCTGTTTTTCTAGATTAGTCTTTACAGTAGGGTTATCAAAGATCCAACTACTTTTTTATTTAGATCTTCCTAAATAGATTTCTTGTTACCTAATATTAATAGATTTATATAGCTACAAGAACTTATCTAATATTTGTACTACCTGATTTATCAATTTGTATTTTTCTGTATAACTTCAACATTGCACAAATGCCTTATGATTTGCCAGTCATGCTGGTGTAACTACCATTACAGGTATTCTAACCTAATCATTAATAACAATTATCATAATACAAATATTACAAAGGTGATTATCCAAATTTTCACTATCAATGAGATTTAAACACCCAACCTACAACTTGAAAGGTTGACAACCTGACTACTTTACTAGGTTACTACACCCCCTGATGTTAAAAACACTTGCTTAAAAGTCAAAGTATAATTTTATAATAAAATTTAAAGTTGTTTTTTTTTCTTTTTTTTTGCTATTTTTATACAATTAAGTAATATTATTTAGAATGAAAATTAGCAATAGTCAAAATTTTAAAATATTATTTTTGTTACACAAAAGAATGATCTACATGTTACACCTAATCTTAAATTTTAATTGGTCACAATACTCTAGCACTATAAAATAAATTCCTGAAAGGTCAGTTTGCTATTTAATTTATATGATCGACCAATCACGAGACAGTTACCCTATATGTTATAGTTAGGATTTAAATAGAGGTTGAAATCGTCGGGTTTACCACGTGAAGTTTGTAAAAAACGCGCCGTAATGTATTAAAGTTAATTGATTAGCTACACGATTTGTCACGTGAATAACATTCGCGTCGTTACTGTTGATACGTTTTCACGTTAAATTTTTTACAAATAAAAAATAATACAAATTTTAATACTAAACTATATGGTCATTAAAGAATGGACACACTAAGACGTAGAAGCAGAAAACCCAACAAATATTTAGATGAAGTCGGTGTTGTTGGAAGGTACATATCTATCAAAACGTTATTACATTCAAGTATTAGCTCTTGCATCGCATTTCGTTATTCAGGAAGTTTTCTTGAATAAATCTCAGAAAAACTGGCATAACAATTTCGGAGGATGTGACGAAAAATGCTGATGGCTTGGAGGACGTGGATGCTTTCTTCGAAGCCGCAAATTCTACAACTACAAATATTGACGCTTTCGTAGAAGCCGCAAATTCTACAACGACAAATATTGACACTTTCGTCAAAGCCGCAAATTCTACAACTACGAACATCGGCACTTTCGTCGAAGCCGCAAATTCTACAACTACAAACATTGAAGCTTTCGTTGAAGCCACAAATTCTACAACGACAAACATTGACGAAATATCAATGTCTCTTGTCACAGATGGTGAGCGTCATTCATATATTGTGGGCTTTCATTCTGAATTAAGATCACGATAACAAATATTTTATCACCGGAATGAGTAAAAGAAACGTTACCACTACTAACTAATTTACCATCCAACATAAATTCAAATAGATTCGCCACAGGAAACATATTCGCCTCATAAAAGTACGACTCCTTTAGAACCGGAGCAACCATCACATAAAAATACATCCCCTTCTGAAACAGGACCAACACCTTCTAAAAAGAAGGATGGAGATAGGGTTGTACTGTATAGGCGTCGTGCCATGGAAAGTCCAACAACAACATTCAATCTTGGCAACTCTAGGGGAGACAACACCGATGAAGAACGCGATCCAAGTACAGATCAAGAAGTAAATAGTCTAAAAAATAAAAAGAAAGCAAAGAAAACAGCGTATACAAAGACAGTTATTCCCAAATCTATTTATGATCAAAACGAAAGTTCGAGTGATAACAAAGGAAGAAAGTGTCATAGCTATATTGTTTCACTCTTTATATTATATAATTTGGCATAAATGCTGAAATTGGTTGGTATTTTAGTACGAAGAAGTAAACGTCAACGTATCAAGCCTCTGGAATTCTGGAGAAACGAAAGAATTATATATGGACCAACAAAAACAGGCATGTTAATATACCACATCTATTCTGCATAACGCTGTCCAAGCTAGTCCAAGATTTTTGAATAAGGATAGGGGTGCTACAGGCAGTGCTATATGGTAGACATTTTGTCAGAGTTTTTTATGTTGGGTCGCTATTAATTAATTTTTATAGAAGTTATTCGTGTTCCTCGGTCAGACGACAAAGAATCAGGTGTTGTACGAGATACAAAGAAACGAAAGAGGGGCGATAAAAAGACTACCCTTAAGAAGGGCGTAACGGATGATGAAAACATTGACGAAGCAGCATCTGCTGAAGGGTTTGCTATCGATTGGGAGACTAATGAAAAAATTACACGACGTAAGTTTTTTTATGAGTTTCCTTGTAATTAAAATATATTAATATATACTGTATTTTTAGGCTTAATATATACCCTTTCAATGTATCAAACTGAAGCCATTGAAAATGATGGGTTCAAGCTCCAAAAAACTTTTTCGGAAGGCGATTTCTTTTCGGCAGGATTGATCGATATACCAAAAGGGCATAAAAAATCAGGAAGGAATTCCAACGAAAGTGCAATGGTAATTTATTACTGCATAAGCATTGTTAACTTAATGTGCGAAGTATATATTTGTTCATGATTTGTTTTTAGGTATTTTTTGTCTTTAAAGGGCCAGTAACGTTTCAACTCGATACGCAAATGTTTACGGTCAAAGAAGGAGCTCAATTCTTTGTTCCGCGAGGTAGGACAATTTCCAAGTTTTGCAATTTTGTATGGTATTTTTCTAATACACTTTTTGTTCTTAGGTAATATGTACAGCATAACAAATCCAAGCAAAAGGAGCGAAGCACGATTATTTTTTGCTCAAGCTAAAAAGTAAGAATAAAGTTATTTGTAACAACATGTTACATAACAACCTCGGAATGTCGGTCCGGAACAATGAATTAAAATTTTTATTAAAAAAACAAAAGGGAAAGTCTATTTTCACCCGGATTAAAGTCACCTAAAATATAACTAATACTATTAATTTTAGTTACGTAAATGACATATAGTTATTGTGTATCTTTAATTCGGGTGTAAATAGAATTTTCCAAAACAACATATCAATATCAATACATATGTAAAAATACGATTTCAACTATAGATGCAGACATCTAGAAGGCCAAAGGTAGTTACCTTTTTAGGCTTTACTTATATGTACCGGTAATACAAACTCTAAAAGGAATCAGAGTTCAATTTTTGATCAGCCTAACCAATTCATATACTCTAGAACTACCCCAGTGTCGCCACCAAATTTTTTCGATCACGTGATGATAGACAAAAATTGGCCAATGACGAATCTTGATTTAGTGTAACGTCACGCGATCGGAAAAATTCAAAACAACCGTTCATTTTGAAAATCGTCTTTATCTCAATATTTTGCCTAAGAAACAGCTCTTCATGCACTAACAAAAAAAATTCCTTGGGTAATTTTACTATAGCCCTTAATCTTTAACATTAGATTAAACACTAACTCTAATATAAACGAACATTAAAGAATTTTGTCGATGATTACATGATCGAAAAAAATTGGTGATACTGGGAAAGATGTACTCTAGTTTTAGGGCTTTTATTTCGGTTGGCTAACTTTTGTAGATCATTTCATAATATTGCAGGACAATATTTTATATAAAATTAAATACATTATTATAAAATTTAATAACTTAAAGTTTAAGCCATAATTTGATACAAATAAAGCTATATAATTCAAGATTTTATTAAAAAATAATAAAAAGCATAAAAAGAATTAAATATATAGGTTATTTTAAGAAACAATAAAACTAGGCAGTTGTTATATATATTTTTTAATTATTTGGGCTAGATGCTGAAAAAAAAACCAAATTGATACTTTTTTAAAATAAATTTTTTTTTTTTTTTTTTTAAGAGAGGTTTTTCCTTTAGTCCTTTATTTCAGTAATATATAATTAGATACAACTAGTACAAATTGATACATTAAACTAAAGGAGTAGGGGTTAGGGCTACTTTACCCTCAATCTATTCTTAGCTAAAATGGTTAAGAGACCTCTAGTCTATGGATTGAGTAGTAGGGGATGTTTGGTTTAAAAGTATAAATCTATTAAGCCATAAGGTATATTGTCTATCTATTGACATTAGTAATATGTGGTCTGGGTTAGTAATGTTAATGGTTGGTGTTTATGGAATCTGTTGTTGAACGTAAGTTCTACTTGGTTTTCATATATGTTTGTGTATCTTCTTTGTAATTCGATGATAAATGTTTGGTAGTAGATTCTTTTTTAGTGGGCCTAGTTCAAGTAAGTTATTTGTGATAATTTTAATTGGAATTTGTTGCTCTATGTGGATGTTTTGTATTTCTTAAGCTAGATTTGTTAATGTTATTGTTTCAATTTCATTATCTTTGCAGATTTTTGTTATTGCTTTTTTTTATTATTTCTTTCAATTCTATTTAGTTGTACGGGCAGATAAGCATATAAACTATATCTTCTAGTATGTTTGGGCACTTTACACAGTATGGATTAATGTGAGTTTTTGGGGTTCTTTTATGAAGGTTAAGATGTGTTAGTAGTTCAGAAGTTAGAATTTTGATTTTAAATATTTTTAAAATAGATTTTGTAGGATCAGTATTTCGACTAAGAGGTTTATTTTTAAAATTAAGATATTCGAATATAAGTTTCCAATTGATGTTTGGAAGTTTGTCAGAAATATTTTTGATACGCTTTTGATTATTCCATGTAATGATTGCTTCTGCTCGTTGTAAATTTTTAGGTATTTGGTGAATAGCATAAGTAGTTGGTGTATTCATTATGAAGGAGAAAAAGGTAGTGTTTAGTATTTTATTAGTTAGCAGGTCCATATAGAATTGGCAAGAAGAATTTTTTATACTGATTTTTTCTTCTGTTAGGTTAATTTTGATCTTTAAATTTTTTGTTTCAATTATGGTATTAAGAAGAATAGTGATATTGCTGAAAAGAGTTTTTCTTAGTTTATGTTTTTGTTCTGATAACATCATAAGCATTGTTGAAATTTTGTTAGAAATGTTGCTTTTATCAGTTAATATTTGAATTTTCGTTTTTTCTGTTATTGCTATAAAAATTATTGTAAGTATTGTAAACATTGTGTAATCTGAGGAAGGAAAAGTTTGGTTGGTACAATGCCATATATGGTCATTATAATGAAATGATAATTGAGCATAAGGAGTATTGTATCTATTTGTTTTTTTGAAAATAGTTGTAAGTTTGAAGTTTAAGTCTTTTAGGAAAGAACTTGTTATATATAGTTTTCATATTTCTTCTTGGTTATTTGCAAAGGTTTGTAGAAGTCGATAGTTGGTTTGATATTTTGAAGTTGAAAGTAAATATTTGTGATTTTGTTTAGATTGTATTGTTATTTGGTAAGAGCATAAACAATTAAGGTTTGCATGAATTCATTTGTGGCAATTAACTTGAATTTTGAAGATTTGGTGTATAGGATTAGTAAAGTAGTAGTAGGTTGTTTTGAATTTTGGGTTTTTGATTTGACATCCAAGGCATAGTATTAATTGATGATTGTTTAATGGATGGATATTGTAGTGTTTAATTTTGGTTTGATTATTGATGATACTTGTTAATTTTTCAAAATATTAAGATTTTGTAATGATCTATTGTGAAGTCGTAGTCTTGATCTTTATAAAAGTATATGGGTTAGGATAGATTAGTGTTGTAGACAGATTTGTTAGTGAGATTATATGGTCTGTAATTGCTTTGAACTATTTTGGAATTTTCCCTCTTGGTATTTTTTGTATATTGTAATAAAAAGATATCCAATCTAAAATCTTGTAGTTTAAGTAGTTGAGAAATTGTTCAATACAGGTTATATTATGGTTGTTTAGATTTTCTTTGATTGCATATAGTTGTTTCATTGATTAGAGAATTTGGTTAATAAATGTGTCCTTTGTTTGTTTAGGAATAGGCCATGGGTTAGTTGTGTGCTCTAGCTAAATATTTAGTAAATGAAGTGTGAGTATCATTTGGGCTGTATTTGTTTTGACTTCATTTGTAGTTAATATAGGTTGTTCTAGTAAGATTGATTTGTTTGAGTTAGCTGCATTTTGAATTTGTTGTAA